TCTTTATTTTGACTATTTACTCTATTTTTTTGAAACAAAACAAGATATATTTGTTTTTTCATTAAAAACATTTAAGATAAACGTATGTCATTTAAAATAATGAAGAAAAAAATAAAAAGGAAGTCAAATTTATTGTCAAAAAGGACAAAACATAAAATGATAAAATTTAACGGAATGACTAACGAAAGTTAACGAAAATGTTACATTGTAACACTTTTCATATATTGAAGATGACATACGAAAATTTTAATCTTTGAAAGTATAAAATGAGAATTTTTAAATCTTTTGGAATACAAAATGCAAGTTTCCCTAAAATCTATGATCATGATTTTTGTAAAGGTGTTACGGTCGTGATAATTACTACTAAAAAAAAATAAATTTTGGGAAGGATTTTCCAAATTATAAAGCTATGAGGAGGTAGTAAAACACACATGAAGCGACTAAAACCGTTGGGGTATTTTTCAAACCTACCAGAAACTAGGGAACTTGATCATGCCAAACACAAACTTCATTGACAAGTTATTCATAAATCTGGAATGGGACTTAGAAAATGTCCATTCAAAGGTTAGACCGAAGGTTTGGACAATGGTCGTAGCAAACTGATTGGAAGCCTCTGGAATATAATCCAACAGAATTTTACTATACATTGTTTTTATTTTTTTGTAGTTTATCTTATTTTTCTTGGTATATTTATTCGTGTTATACATTCTTGATCGGATAATTCTAGATTAATTAAAAATAAGGAAAAAAAAAAAAACAGAAGAATTCTAGATTATCCCACGTTTACCCAATTGAAATTTCATTTTTTCTCAACAAGTCAGTGTGGTGTCATTGGGGATCTATTTAGAATAGTGTAGCGTTATGATGATACCAGAAGAAAATGTCAGTTTAGATAATGCAAATATCAGGTAAATACACCTAAAAAGAATCCAAACTAGCAATAGCACTCTAAAAGCTTACCATCAACAAGGAAACTACGAGAAGGGGTTAAAAAACAGGACTTTCATTAGAATATCACGTCGTGTCTTGTAAAAAAAAAAAAGTCAGTTCTCTGACATTTTATTTTATAAAGACAATAATTACCAATGTGTAATGAGGAAGCGTAAACGCTGTCATTTTTTATAGTCTAGGTTGGTTGATGGATCAACTAATGTTTAATCCAACGTACAAAATCATCCATTTGAAGTTTAACCTAGTCCTTCAAACCAAATATTGTTTTTCGAAATTAGATTTTAAACTCTATTTAAGCAAATTGATTTGTTTTATGTTAGTAATACTATTGAGATATAATTTATTATAGTCATTAGATTGATCATGAGCCCCATTAAATATATAAGTATGTATATTTTAGTTTAATAGTTAGGGGTATTCGAACCAACTTACTTGTACTTCGACTAATCCTCTCTTCGATCCGGTTAATCGTAAGTCATCATCCACTTCAAGACTAGAATATTTACGAGGGATAAATCCTCATGACCTAACTCCAAAAAATTACCGAGTTCAACCCCAATATTTTAAGAGCAACTGTCTCAACATTATCAAACTAAGTTCAACCGTAGATTTTTCCCCGTGGGAAATTAATGTTCTTATGGAAGAGATTAGATGTTATACTAAGTTACATAATCTTAACTTTTTATACAAACCGAAAGTCTGCAACAAAGTTGTTCATTGGATAGCAGTTATTATTATGAACAAATCGTTTCCGCTGAGTTGGGTAGGATCCCTCTCCAAAGGTTAAAGCTTTTATTTTGATTGATTGTAATCTAAATTTTCATGCTTAAATTAAATATTTATCTTTTGTGTAATTATAAAAAAAAAAAAAAATATATATATATATATATAAAATACAATGTCAAATAGCTTTTCTGTAAAATTTAAACCAGCCTCCTCTCAAGGCCGGCTCAATGGCATAACCATTGAAGCCGTCGTTTTAAGCCCCGAGGACCTCATTTTATGAAAGTTTAATTAAGTCTATTGTTCAAATAATTTTTATTATATATATTCAATTAAGTTTATTTTCATTTGTACCCCCAAAAAATAAAATTTAGAGTTTTTTAGATTTAAGTTGAATTTATTTATATTATTAATGATTAAATTTAAAAAATAAAATAAACCTGTATAATGTCAAAACAACATAGTCTTCTATGGGACAATTCATTTGCCTCGTTGATACAAATTACCAAAATTCTTGCATCATTATATAACCATATCTTTGGAATTTTATATAAAAATAAAAATAACACAATCACGCGAAAGAATTTTTTTACCCACCCTTCTAACCAATTTGCAAAAAGATGTCACTATTGTGTCGTATTTGAATTGACTCCTCTAACTCATGAATCCAAAATTTAAAATTAAGATTCATTTATCTTTCACTCATACGTATAATCATAATTTTTATATACGGAAAATTCACTAAATGCATATAGTAGTGAAAATAATTAAAGAAAATAATCATATTTTATAACTATTCGTATTAATACTACATAAAAAAATTATAAAATTCACATTCAACACTAACATTAATCAGATTTATATTAATATTTATGTTAATAAATTGTGTTATTTTTAAATTTCGTGTTAAAAAATAATTAATCTAAATTCGATAACTTTGCTTCGAGTTTAAGTCGTGAAATTAGCACCCATTATCCAAAAACGGAAAGGGGAAAAGGGTTAAAAGAGATGAACTCAACCCGGTAAACGCGCAAACCGGTAACGAGAAGCTACCACGTCAGAGAAGAGAGAGAGAGAGACAGGAGGGTATCGCGCCGTATAAGAAATGTTCATCCGTAACTATACAAAACTTGTATACATCTCTCCTTTCTGGCTAGTTGTCTCTTTGTGTGGGTGTGGGTGCGGGTGTTTGTATGTATATAATGCGAGCAGGGACCTTTTCATTCAGCCATTCCCAAGCAATTATCTTTCCCTTGCTTCACTCCTCTCTCTCTCTCTCTCTCTCCGTAAACATAACCTTTTCTCTCTCTCTGCAACTCTCTTTTCACTCTATATATATCTATTCCTTTGTCCTCTCTCTCTCTAAAGCATTTCCTCTGTAAGAAGCCATTACATTCGCCATCCAAGTTACGATACTAACACATCTGAGATTTACAAAGCCAGCCTTGATATTTCGGTATGTAATTCTCTCTCTCTCTCTCTCTCTCTCTCT